TATCACGTTGGCGCCCTTCAGTGCCATTACTTCCTCAGAGCATAGCATTTTGTGGTAGTCTTGGTATAACTCTGAAAGCAATCTGGTATGAAGCATCAGCAAAAATCGTTTGTTTTCCTAAAACCTTTCTTTATTTTATGAAGTTTAGTGGCTATCTTGCTAGAGATGCCTGCAGGTGCAGCAGTTCTTTTCAACTTCTTGGTAGGTTCTGGAGCCACAGCTTTAACACAAAGCTGAATGCGGTGGTAGAATTCATTACAAGCAATTTGTACATTTTGTGCTAAGAAGAATGGATCCCAATATGAAGACCTTATAAGATCCGAGAAAAGTGACCAATTCACAGAAGAGAATGGGCGGTAATTTATCACTGATTCTGTCGGTTTAGAAAGAATTTGGAAAGAGCAACCAACAATATTATGAGCACTACCCTGCAACTTGTCACTAACATATGTGGACACATGCGAACATCCCATCGTAAATATTAGATCAAGTGTGTTACCAACCCTGTAGGTTCTGTGACGTGCTGTACCCATCCCAGTCGACCAAGAGTAGACATAAAAGGATTGTGTTTTTGTGGTTTATTGTTAAGGGCTATGGGATTTCTGGTATATTTAAATCCCTAGCGATTATTTTATTAGTGTATGAGAGGTCGGCAATAAAAGAAAATGTGTCCAACATTCATCGGTTACGGTGAGTGTAGACGATGGGGGATCTGTAAATACAACCTACTAAGAGATTTGTTGGATTAATAGAAATTGTAATCCACACTGAATCAGGAAGTTTCCTTAGGAGTGGTTCATTCAGAGGCAGAACCAAGTATTTGTCTTTGACGTAGATTATACAGCCACCACCTCTACAATAAAGGCGGTCATTACGAAAGATGTTATAACCCAGTATCCTTAACAATGTGTCAGACATCTCTGCTGAACACCATGTTTCTGTAATTAGTACCATATCAGGAGAAGAAAGGTGAAGGATATTACGCAGGAAGTGCATTTTATCTAACAGTGAACGGGAATTAATTAAAAGTAAGTGCAGTGTCTTGTTATCTGTTGGGTTGTCTACAGGAATCCAGGTACAGGACCCCAATGAGGTGGTATTTGGAGAGAGTGGAGTGGAGGTGGTGGATACGGAGGACATATAAATTGCGGAATTAGTGTCATTTGGGGGTGTGGCGGGTAGAACGCCACTGGACCCCCAAAAATAGGTTGGAAGGGTGAGATACTGGGAAAATGGCGACCCACTGGGAGATTACAGTTTTCTGGCTGTTGCACATAACCTACGTGCCAGTTAAAGTTATTTACATGTTGAGGTAGTCTGAGAGGATTTTGGTTGGGCCAATTTCTCTCAGCTACATGAAATTCCCTAACAAGTGGCTCACAAGTTATGGAGCACACAGATCGCATATTCAAATGCTGCATGGTTGGAGATATGCTGTCTGTCTGCTGGTTTTCAGTGGTGACAGCGTTTGGTGGAACGTTTAAAATAGCTGTTTTTATTGTGCTTAGGAGCACCCGTATAGATTCCACGTGAGGTTTTGTTATCAGTGTTCTTTGCAACAAGGCTGTTCCTCAGTTTTAGAGGTTCACAGCTTTTAGGAGAGGATGTTTTCAGTTTTGTACCAGAGCGTCTATGCACCTGGTTGGTGAACGACAAAGAGTGAGTAGAAATAGTCGTTTGCGCAATGGAACTTTCTTGTATGTTCGGGGACGAGTTGCGCGGTAATGCTGGACTAATGTGACACTGAATGGAGTCATAAGCGATATTTTTATGAAAGTTGCTATTTGATTTCAACCTAAGAGCTAATTCATTTATGATCAAAGTATCATCTAGGTCAACCAGGTGGGGAAGTTCCTGAGTTTCCGTGGGTAGCGGAACATATTTGGTCACAGACTGTTTGTCGGAAATAGGCTTCTTTGCACTCCCTTTGTAGTACTGTTAAATCTGGTTTCAGGACCAGGGATACGTAATTTTTCCTAAGGAATAATGCGCTCCTAGTATAAATAAATTTTTCAGCAAGTGTGTCGTTTAAAAATTTAAAAGGTACTGGACAGACCTGCTTTGGAGATTTCTTTCGAAGCCTCACGCAAGAAAACTGCAGTCTTTCAATATGACAGTCGTTTGCCACTGCAGAGGAGATAGCCTCAAGAGATAACTTTTCTGGTAAATGAAGTGCTATAACATTTTTGGAGCGTTTAATGCGCTCATGCACCTCAAATGCAAATGTATAAGATTCCCAACGGATCGAAGGTGTTCGATTTTTGGTGTATCTGAAGTATTAAAAAGATACTTAATCGAGTTAAATTGCTCTAGCACTTGGTACAGAGATTCAAACCTTTCCTTCAAATCCTTCAGCTGTAGTTCAAGCGCAGCAATCATTTCAATCACTTTAGTGGGCGATTCTGCAGTAACTGCCGGTGCTCTATCAGAGAAACCTTGTGATAACTATCATTTGATTGCTTTTTTACTCTTACGCGCAATTTCCGCTTTATTTTCATCTTAGATGATGAGCCTTTAATATTTTCCGTGCTGACGGACTGGCTATAAGCAGGAGGTTTTGCCAGCATTGCAAAGGCTTCCTTTCTCTGCTTTGAGTTTCTTGTTTTAACTGAGGTAACGAGCATTTTTACTGATTGGTCACTCGGTTTTGGGGCTTGTGAAAACTATTTTATGATTGGTAAAAGCAAGCGGTTAGGCTAGACCACCTTTTACAGCAAACTGAATGGTCATTTAATGATGTGAAACCTATGTGAACACCCGTGGATACGGAACAAAGACGCTGAGTCGCGCAGGGTGTATCCATCGTCTCATCTTGTTAGGAGTCGAAACCTAGAGCAAGTTTAATGATGGAAAGCAGGTGATAGCCAGTTTACGCCGGTTTCTAGCGAAGTGTCAAAGGGTTTGAAGCAAGGAGAATACTTGAGCAACAATATATACGATGCTAAAGTCCTGCTTCGCGCATGGTGATTCAGTAGTCCTGATTTGCTAAGATTACAAAAGGAATAAAGTATGGGGATTACTAAGCTTACTGTTGCCTGATTAGGCGTACAAGTATTTGATAAAATAGCAGTTATAAAATTGTACGTGAAGACAGCGTTTAGACACATCCAAACCAGGTCAATTACAACACATGCTTAATCCTTCCGGTTGCTTTATATAACAACAACATGATGAAAGTGCGCGAATGCTAGCATTTGAATTGGTATCTGTCTCCAGTGAAAACCATTACAATCTTTTACATTCAAACCGGCCAGTCCGCATAATTAATACTAGGTCGTTTAACCAACAATTTACGTTCGCTTGCTTTTTGTAGCTCCAAATACAAAAAAGTTGTTTGTAATGAGTTTAGTCAAGCTGGCCCATAATGCTCATGAATGCAATCAAGCTAGTGAGTTCGATGCACACTAACCAAGTCCAAATGCTTTGTACAGCATTGAGGGTAATAAACGGGACAACCTTAAACATTTGGAGTTACTTCAATCATATAGACCTAATTCTTCATAGAACCACCACATTAGGTGCAGTACACGGGGCTTTAACTACTTACTTATTTCTGCATAGAATTTACAGAAAACCAACGACGACCTACAAACGAGGAGAAGGATTAACTTCATTTTTGTTGACTAATAGTTCTTGTCATAAATTGCAGCAATCTGATTAATATTCATCCAACATATCCACCGGATTCAAACATATTTTTAGTAGTGCCAACTTTCCCATCGCTGGCAGCATAAGAGTTGTATCGTAAATTTTAAGTGTGTCACTGCCTAATCGAAGCTATCGAATAATGCTATAAACTTACACCTCTACTGAAAAGCGTCGTCTCAACTTAGCAGTAGCAAATTCGTCAGCTATTTCCTCTCCAAAAAGTCAACGCGTAACATTAATTAGGTTAAATTTTGATTCTATACGTCGTCAAAATGACAAAGCATCATAGCTTAGCATCACTTCCCCGGTTTGCTTAGAGCAATTTGTTTTGGAATTCCACGAGGTAACCTCCGTAAAATTGGAGGGTTTTGATGTGGCTCTCTCCCCTCCCTGCACTTCGCGAGCGACGGTTTTCTACTTGTTTGGACTCATCAGCTAGGAATGGGTAGAATTGTGGACTGAAATGGTTTCGTAGTGGTTGACAGTTATCGTCATAGTCACTAGACTATTGAGCAATGTAAACATGGCTTGGCACATCGAACCACTTCGTTTCGGTGGGATACGGTCCCAGTGATGAGAAGCGCATGGGTTACATTCAAAGTCAACTGAAGCTACAATTATTTTTGCTTGTCGCAATGCAAGACACACGAAGCTACAGCAAAACCCGACCCTGACCTTCTAAGTATACTGCCAAGTGCGCTTGAGGAGCTCAATGGTAAAGTTGACATGGCGATTTCCGCCAACTAGGATGTGCCGAGTTCCATTCCCATTTCAGGCTATCCCTAGCTGATTAGTCCTACGCAGGACGAAACCGTCAGTCATGGGATGCAGCGGTGAGATAGTGCACCATCCAATCCATACACTTTGCTCGGATACAGTCCTAGTGATCGAAATCGCACAGGCTGACTTCAAAGTCAACCGAAGCCACAATTGTGGTTGCGAGTCCCAATCCAAGAGACCCAGAATGCACTCCCAAACCCGACTATCAACATCCGTTCAAATTGCGATAGTACAGATGGTTATAGTTTGGTAGTGCAGTTTAACTACGAATACAAAATTATTCAACTATATATGATTAGCGTCCTATGTTTAATTTATGCTGAACGTACAAATAACACTATTGCAAACCGATTGACGCCATCCACAAATTCTTGAATAGGCTGGATGTTATATTACATGGCTGCCTATTTGTCTGAACACTTATCTTCTCACGTGCTTGATGTGTTACATGCACACATGAGGATTACGCAATATAGTCAGTTGCCATGTTACTAATTTTATAGTAGCTACCGTGACAAGCTGATGAGGTGTAAATGGCAACGCCCTCTCATGTCTCATTAACGTCAGCATATAAGCAGCACTTGCACGAGTAGTATAGAGACTGCGCCATCTTTTGACGTTTGCGTTCATAGTACCATGCAACTCACTCTGCAGGATCTATTTTCTATTCCCATCTTGTTACGCGTTATAATAATCAATTCCAACATACGCACAGGTAAGTAAGATGCTTCCTCCTATCATACGCAACTTGTGGTACTTTGCCACGTAATTATGTGGTGGTTCTGGATAGCAGGTATACTTATTATTAGCTCTTAGTAGCAGGTTGATCTTATAGAAACTAACCTGTCTTATCTGTCCGTTGGAATGTACCTTACACTTGGGTAGGCCATTTTGAAACAATCGTTTAGTTAATCGTGACCCAAACCTGAGTTTGAGAGGAATTTGATGTGAAGTGAACCGTGCACCATTTGTCCGCTGGAACTCTGTCTGTGGATGGTTGATACTGTAGGCCACGTGCTCACAACCCAGAATTATGTGCTAAAATTAACCTACAATTACGTACAGAGCAGCCAATTCACATATGGCCTAAAATGAATTGACTGGTTATGTAGTAATAAGCCGAATACCAAACTGAAGATATGATAATCAAATTCTGCTTATTTTGATGCACCTATTCGTATGAATTCATTCAGCCGTGGTAGGTCAAACAGAAACAGCCGTTGTTCAATTAGCATGCTAAGTTGAATCAACTTCACACCAACCGAGGTCCGTTACACCAAATAAAGTATCCAGATTTAATGGGCTTTGAGTTTTTCTTCCGCAAAATTGCATAACATCACCGATGTGTTACTTATTTGTATTCGATAACTAGAAAAGGTAGGACGGCTGTACGTTAAATGATTACCACTTTCCGACACCCAGCCGCTAACAAATGGTGTATCCGCAGTTAAGTACCGATTGTGTATTTGTCCATCACTGGTTTATGCAGGATAAGGGATTCGCGCTGCAGTCATGCTATCTTTATCTGATAATTGCAAACAGTTTCTTGAACGGTCATGAAGCACATTGTTTTCGAGCGAGTGAAATCCAACATACTTTGGATTCCTCACTTACAATCCCAGGGATCGCATTGGCCAAGGGTTCATTTTAATGTGCATCACGGCCCATTTTGAGACGGTGCAACGGAATCCATACAGGCAAATAGAGCTTTAAGATGATAAGTGCGGTCATTGACCGATATGACAAGCGTTGTTCCATACCACTGGAAAGTGCAGGAGTAGAGCTTTCGACTGACATTGCTGCGATTTGGATACACGCATCACTTGCCTGTCTTGTATATTTTAAAGGAAAGAATATTTTAACATGGAAAACATAAAGCGGTGAAAACTAAAAAAGCATGTGTCGATGTGCCTTACTACAAAATATAATTAATCATTAAAAAACCGGCGACAAAACTTTATCTAGCTATCCAGCGCATAACTTCTATGTATTTATTGGCAACTAGTGGAAGTTAACTAACACGTTCGTGCGCTAATGACTTAAGTATATCATTTAGATTTTACAGACACCTAGTTATTTGTTATCCGGGATGGATGAGAATTAGAGTGACGGAGAACCTCTATGGGTGACTGCATAACAGTTCAGGGAAGTAGTGCAACTTACTCACTAGATAACGTTCCGTTTTGCAAACTCTTATTGGATGATGCGCTTTAGTTTCCGTGCATATATTGGCTAAAGGATTTCGTTTATTTTTCCGCCACAAGCAGGAAGTGAAGAAAGGGAGAGCTATCACTATATTTCTGAAACCTTTTAAATATTTGACAGATGTTAATTTGACTGTTCAGCTTAAGAGTTTATGATGCATTCTATTTACTAGATGCATTATACTCTTTGGGATTATGAACTGTTATAACGCAAAGTTTTGACATGCTCTTAGTTAATAGTTTCAAATAAGTGTGTTAGAGACGTAGGCGTATAGCGCAATTTGACGAAGTAATAGGGTCGCAGTGGAAAGTATGTGATACAGGGCGATGCGTCTTAATAAATGTGCAAATTGACTTGCCTACCTAAACTTATCATATCTATTATAACTTTGAAAGAAAAAATTTTAGATGGAACAATTTTAAAATGTTAAGGTACGATCGATGTTACTGTTTAGGCACTAGTGCGCGCTAAAATGGGTACTTTAGATGTGAGTAGCTCCAAGCTTTGAACACAATATATTTATATCAATATATTTATATATAGCATGGTTACAGGAGTTGAGCCTATTCATTTAACAACTATACTGATTCAAAATAGTCCATTTCTTAGTATCGTAAGTATGCCATGAATCTGAACACCAAATAGAAAAGTCAAGTTAGTTTGACCCAAGTAGTATATGTACTCCATAAGCTTCCTGAATTCCAAACCCGTGACACTCTAAGACCTTCAATTTCATAAACGTTAGGATATGAATTCCCTACTGCCTACACAACGTTAACTGATTGATATCTGATTATTACTGCAACTGCTAAACACATAGATACAGCGATACATTTTATGCTGTAAGGTATTTGGGCTGCAAACTTACAATCCGTTTTTAGATGCTTTCTTCTCTTGGTATGTGGTAGTTTTTATTTCCAAGTGAACATATGTTGCAATTAGCTAGATAAATTACTAAAGTTGGCATGCAGACGGATTTGTCAATTTAAAGCACCGTTAATCCCACTCGCCATCGCACAAGTGCCCGAAAGCACTATGCAAAATGTGTCATGTTGACATTGCGCAATTATTTGTTAATAATTCTGACAGAAGCAGTAAAAGCCTCAATGATAAACGAAGTAAATACGTTTACATGGTTAGTGTTACTATGTAAATGTTAGCGAAACACCATAGTACATGACTACAATGTCCGCCACGCTGTAGGTTCGCGCTTTAATAAGCATAATGAAAAATTGAAATTATTAATTAAATGGGGAACTTTTACCAAGTTCCTTTTTCATATTTATATACAAAGGTAGATATATATATATATATATATCTCTAACGTAAATGTTACAGATTAAAAAATAGATATGTTCCTGCTTAAGCGGGTTATATGCATTAGTACGAAATATAGCATTTCGAAACGTGTAATATTTTCTAGCTGCTGTTGATACTTACCAGAATAAGAAAGGCATAAGAAAACGTTGCATTACATGACAGTATTGACTGCATACCTATACCCGGACTTCTAGTTTGGAGTAAACCGAAGTAGACAAATATCCATAGGAGTGACTACACCAAGCAATTTGTTATAGATATCCTCGCTAGGCTGTTTATGCATAGCTCATTCAAGCTTGTTATTATGCCCAGGACAATAGTTTTCCAAATATGTATAATGCTGACGTTATTCAGACGTTAAAGGGCGACTGACATCAAAATTCTGTTTACAAGGACCTAAATCACAAAGTAAAACTGACACCGCCACCCGCCGACTCTTCCAAATTTCTCGCGACTGCTAGCTACAAGAATACTTACCCGCAAACTTGCCGTCATTTATTACGACTTTTAATCAAAACTTTATTTACAAACTTGAAGCTACTTCTCGTTCCAGCTCGAGTACAACTAGAGTAACTGTCTTTTTCCCTGTCATATAAATAAATAAATACAAATATGTGTAGCAACTAACAATCTACCAGCACTCTGGTAATATAACTTTATTTGAAAAGTTGGTTAAATTTGCATTTGTTATTGCTACCAGTTTCTTAATCCCTCATGTCATTCCAAACTGTTTATCACTTTAATATATCCATTGGAGACGCTTTGTACAAAACACAAACAATTAGCCATCTTATGCCATTACAATGTAAAAGTTGGCATTCCACTTAATTGGTCTGTGTTTCTTACCGTCGAGGAATAGAATGTTTATTTATTTCTTTTGCATTCGGATTGCAGCAACTGTTGAGAGGTGGAATTCGGACAATACCACATCTTGCCCATCCCCAAACATACGCGACCAATCACCATTTGCCACCAAACTACTAAATAAATAGTATTACAAACGGGAGTAGTACCACAACTACTCCCAAGCTTGCTGCATGCAATAGTAGGTAACCAATTATTTATACTCTTCTTGTAGTTTGCACACGTGACACGAATAACTCATTCTCAACCCCCGAAAATCCTGGCTTTCACGCACCAAACCTCACCTTTTAACCAGGTTAAGCGACAAACATCCGTATGAGTTGCACAACCTCCGAAACATTGCCAACGCCCAATGGCTCTTCAGTAAACTAACTGAACTTCGTCTCGTCAGGTTGCGAAAGCTTGGGACCTAATTTCTATTACCAAAACTTGGTTACACCAAGCGGTGACTGATGCTGAGGTTGAGATAGCTGGAATTTGATTCATCCGGTACGACTGCTCCAGCAGAGCAGTTGGTGTCCTACTCACCTACGGCAGCGACCTGCAATGTGCAACAGTTGATGTTCTGGAAACGCACGTTACCGACTCACTCAGTTGCCGTCTCCGACTAAGACACAATGATGCATGTCACGTAGCTGTCGTTTACCGCCCCCCCCCAACTTCCACTCTGAAAATGCATTCAAGCTTGCTACTTGTCCTTAACAGAGTAACACGCACCAGATGCAGCCACATTCTAATATCCGCGACTTCAATTTACACGATCTGGAAGTATCGGCATCACCCAGAGAACAATTCAAAGCAGACTTGCATGAAGGTATCGCCAATATTCCCTTGTACAATCATGTCATCAGGCCCACTAGGTTCAGGACAGCAAACAAACAGTCCATATTGGACATTGGGATCACGAATGAAGAGCTAATGGTTGACAAGGTTTGACGGATAGTCCATTATGTCACAGTGACCATGTAGTAATAACGTTCAACTATGTGTATTATACACAGTATCCATCTGAACGTTCGGAACTAAATCATACGATCACACGCTTCCACGTCTTGAAAGAACTCGCCGAAGCATCTGCTTGGGAATTCTCAAAATACAGTGTCCTTGACAACTTTTGAACAGAGTTCGTTGAAAGAGTCAGCGACATCGTCAACAAAGAATTAGAACTCAAGCCTCTTCGCCCAACAAAAACGTATTCAATTCTACGGAGCAAGACTCACAAATGCCTGGCGGTAAGAGATGCCTACAAAATTAAACCCTACTCAGACTTGGGGCAATTTCCTGACCCATCGCAACTATTGCACTGTACTTGTTCGTAAGGACGAA